GTATTTTATAGACATTTCAAACTAGAATATTGTTGCTGTGCAAATTTTTTGAGTTTTTCTAATTTTTGTACAAAGTAAGAAATTTGTGTTTACATGGCTTTTGTTAGACATATAATTTTGACAAGGGGTATACAACGGTATACATAATATCAGGAATTCCTTTACCTTATTGGAAAACTGTTTTACTGTACTGTAAAAAATGCTTTTATTTGTAAATGATTTTAATATGAGCGTACATAAAATATGATGAATAAAACAGAATGAAGATCCTGCGAAACGGGATTTTTCCCCAGTAATACAGTTTTTTGTCCGAAAAAAGATACGAGCGTTAAGCATGCCGCACTGCGCTGCAGCAGAACTGCACGACACGACACTGTACAGCCAAAGTTGACTAAATAGCAAAAATTTCGTGCAGTGTCAGATAGTTCCGTTGCAGTGAGGTTTGTCCGAAAAATGTTCATACTTTCGAATGTATGCATTTCTTTAAAAGCAATTAATTGCTGAATGCACATATGTATGTATGTTGAAGGAAACAATAAATAAAATGCTAGTACTAAAATGTGAAACCAATATGTCTACAAAATCAGTTATGCTGGGGACTGAAACTTGAAACAGATGCGAAAATTGTAAATACCCTACTTAAGGCGACAAGTAGTAGTAGTAGGTTTTAGAAGAGGGGGCGTTGCACCTCCCGTACAAACTGATATTTTAGTTTCGCTTCTCCCTGGAACCCCTTACACTATGTTTCTGAAATTTGTCAAAGCGTCATACATATGTTACTAACACCGTACTTACAGCGAAACGGGGAAGGTAGCGCTTGTCTGTGGAACCCCTTACGCTAACATCTGGAAATTTGACACACCTACATACATACATATGTACATACATATATGTACTATATTACACCGTGCGACAGTAAATTTTAAGGGTGGCAAATTCTGAATGGCCTAGGGGTGACAAATATTAAAATCCGCCACTGCACACACACATAAGTTTAGAATACCAAATTGGCACTTGGCTCAGCATGAAACACGGAATAGTCGATCACTATCTGACCCAAGTCATCAGTGGACATACCTTTATCGCTTCGGACATGCGCAAAACCCTTATTGCGAGCACTGTGACCGACGGTCATTGAAGACGCCGAGCATGCATTTTTCAAATGCCCCCGCTTCGACTCCATGAGATCCGTACTTAATACCAAACGTGGCTCCTGTATAACACCAGAAAATATGGTACCGATAGTGTTAACGAGCGAAGAAGCATGGAACGATGTCTGCCATTTCTCTGCCGAAATGATTAAAGTCCTTCGACGCAACCTAAATTAGCAGCCGCTACAGTCTTGGCGCAACAAGCCCGTTTTCTTGAGAAGTAACGGCGTTAAGTGTACGAGCCTCTAAAAATCGAATAAGCGATATTAAATTACTATATGCGGTCTATACTTTACTTAGATACGAACTTCCTAATAGGACAATCTAAATGGGTGGGTTGGTTTAACACCAGATCGACTTTAACAGCGGGTGGTATCATGTGAACAGAGTTTAGAGTTTAGTGCTCAAACCGCCTCCCGACGAAATACTTGACGGTGGTACCGGGGGGATCGGTACGTAGACGGTAGGAGGTTTAGTGGGTTAAAGTCTCACACTGACAGGATTGGGGATAAGGCTTTCGATGTTTCCTCCTCTGAAAAAAAAATAAAAATAATTAAATAAATAAAAAAATACCAACCGTTTAGCTAAAAAAAAATAAGAGATGAGGGTCGATAGAACTTTTTACGCTGATTTCAACCATGCCAATTATTTGGTGCAATTAAAAACCAAAGAGGTTAAATTCCAACTTTTTTATTTCTTATGCGTTTTATATCTCGGGAACTACTTATCCGATTAAAAAATTATTGATGCTAATTTCAACATAATTTTTATATATAAAAGCCATTTAAAAAATAATATATAATATTTTGTGTTTTATAGTATTTCCGGACTAAAAATATAAAAAACATTTAAATTATACACATGCATGAAAGATAAATTAATTATTTTTATTTTTACGTCATTAGTTTTTTAATAGGTTATGTTGTTCAGAAGATATTTACGTTTAAAAAAATCTAAAAATGTAACTTTAACCATTGCTATCTTCTCTATTTTTTACTTCCGCAAGATAATTTTTGTAGGGTTGAAATCATCACAAAAAGTTTAATCGAGCCATATTTTTGGTTTTTGCGTAGCTAAATTGTTGATATTATATAAGTATAAGTGCACGGAACGACCTCAGACTATTTCTTATTAAATCCTGAGTACGGGAACAGACTAACTGTCGGCAAGCTGGTTGCAGGTTTGTATTATCAAAGACACAAACCAAATTCGGTAAAAAAGGGTTGCATTCGCATAAACTCCAAATAAAATTGGTGTTTAAGGAGAGTTTAACGAAATTTTTTGTATGGTAAACTCCAAAACGGCCCATAAACTTCGACTGCATCACTCCCCATACAAAAAAAAAATCGGTACTGTTTTTTCCATTGGAATTATAAAATCTATTATATTTTAAGACTTGCTCGAAAATAATCAAAAAGACTTGAAATATAATAAATTTTGTAACCCCGGCGGAAAAACCGCAGTCTAATGTACATACATACAAACGTATGTATATCCCTTTCCGGTCAAATCCGTCCCTGATGAATATAAAAATGTTTCCTCTTAATTACATGGTTCATAGATCCTCATAATACCAAAAGTAGAAAAAAATTAGCAAAAGTTGTTTTGGGTAGCTATTAGGGCTACCTGAAATTTGTTCAATATATTGTACAAAAGTCCGCAAAGGAGTAAAAGCACTCAAGAAAACTCAATAAATATTTAACTAAGTTTGACGGAATAAAACTTTTATTTCATTGAAAATGAGCTTATGTATGCACAAAATAATTGATTTCACTGCAGATATGTTGGAATGAATATTTTATATCTGTTTAAGTATCCTTAGTTAAGATTTGCATCAAAAAATTTTAACACCCCTATTCTGCAACTCTTTCGTATTCGGATTTTGCTACGAATCGTAGAAATAGTATGCTGCAATCCGAATCGTATTTTCGAACTTTCGAAATTCGTAACAATGGCATGCCTAAAAACGAACGAGTAAGCTTTTTTGCGTAATTTTGTACGAAAACAATTCTGTGTCGGGGGCGAAATAAAAGATGTAAATCGATGTGTGTTTGCAAGAAATATTGGTGGTGTTCATTTAAACAGATAAATTTACCTTTCGCATATACGTATATGTATTTTTAACCACTGCGAGCAAAAATGAATATTTGTTGCCCCTTATCGAGAAACTTGGGTCCGGTTTAGTTAATGTACAACGATTTTCGGTTGTTGTGTCCAAACGCATAACCCGAATCCAAAAACTTTAACATACACGTGTAACCAAAGGATTCACATTTTATTTAAGATAAATGTTTCAAATTTCCTACCACTAACTTATTAATAAACTCGGTTTACACTATGCACTTTTAGCCGGAGTGATATGCACAAGAAATGTTGTATACCTTTGACATGCGGAAGCCCCTCTTTCCCGCAACGCAGAAAGGAGAATTTTACTTAGTAAGGGTTATAATCCCTAAACGCGGCCGAAGGCAGAAGCAAGCGCAACAGGTGGTGGCCCTAACAAAGTGCATGTTTTTAATGGCTTGAAAGAAGCTGTTATTGCATTAAATGGATTGAGAACCAGAGCTTCGGGCATAGGAGGACTTCTGGCTTTTGGTTTAACATTTCAACCAGAAGCTGACATAGATGCGCCCATGGTTACTATGCCCGACAGCTCCGCATACCTTTGGGAATCCATTGTCATAGCGCCCGCTACTCTGCTGCTATAATTGCAAATACATCAGAATCCATAATTTTCCTCAAAATATGTAAAATTAACCAATTTTACAACAAACAAGCACATGATGAGTGTTTTTTTAATTCCTTTCCACTTTGTTTTCCTGGTAGCTGGCAATGCTGCACATGTTTCCGCAAGGGTTGCAGCATGTGGATTTTTCGTTTTTCTTTTGAGCCATTTTCAATGCTGCAAGACATTGCCTGGTTTAGGAATATAAAAATTTAACTTTGAGCTACTTAACTCTCTAAGTGACTCTCAGACATATACATTAGACTGACCCAATTTTGCACAATGTCGTTATTTTTTTAGGCTAATATCTAAAAACTTTCGAATACTTGTAAAAACTCACCTGATCAAGTCTGGTTGCGAAATTCAAATATTAACCCGATGCGAGTCTCCGTTTTGTAAAATTTTTGGCTACTAATATTTTAGAGCGTGTTCAAGGAGATGCCAAGGGTAGATTTTATTGAAAATTGACGCGCTCATAGGCTAAATATGTATTTTCGAGGTCGCTGAATACGATGGCACCATTTAATTTTCTCCAGCATCAAAAATTCTTGAGAAATTCAAGAAAGTCTGAGGTAAAAGAAGGAAAAATGTAAACTTTTTACTTTTAATGCCTAATTGTTGTTGGTTAGAATTTGTTTTTATCAACAAAAGCTACTCAAATTTGTAAGTCATTCAAAGAGTTTTAAAATGAAAAAATAGGTATGATTTGGTTGAATCAGTGTCAAGAAACGAGCAAATTTCTAAAACGGTACAAATCCGACAAATATCAGTATTTCGGGTTAAATGACTCATGAAACCGACTCTGGGAGTGAGTTTCAAGTTTCTATGCTTGGAAATCATCACAAGGTGTATATTAGGGCAGGACAATTTTCCACAAAATCTACCCTTGACATCTCTCTAAAATATCAGTAGCCAAAAATTGTACAAAACGGAGACTCGCATCGGGTTAATATTTGAATTTAGCAACCAGACTTGATCGAAAGTTTTTAGCTATTAGCCTCAAAAAAATAACGAAATTGTGCAAAATTGGGTCTGTCTAATATGTACGTACATATGTATTTATGTATATACATACGGTTCTATATTTATATATCTAACCAATTTTATGTTTTTGGTTTTTGCAGATAACAGCCGAGTAATGGATACCAGTGAACATGAATTGAGTGACATTAGTAAGTAGTACACTGAGGGAAATAATTAATAGTAAAAATTAATACTTTATATTCAGTTATCGTTAAAAATGTTCGTAGTTAAAAATAATAAGTAATAATAATAGTTTCAGGTAGATTCTGCCCCGCCCGACTTCAAATATAGTTGTATATCAGCGTTTAATTACACAATTTGATAATTCTTGAGTTGATACTTTTTTCTTTGTTTCGGTAGTACAGAGTAAGACTTAAGCTGATGCCAGATAAAACTTTTTGGCTTTGCGTGACATTTATAACTTTTCCAGGAGAGCGCAAGACGCACAAGGTATGCCACAATGAACGCCAAGGAAACAATTTTGTACTGCTTTTTTACTCGTGAAAATTGCGGTGCATTTCACATACATATATATTTAGTTTTAAAAATATCAGCAGTGTAATTAAATTTTGTGTTTCTGCATGAATACTCGAATAGCGGCGACACAAAATAAACACTAAACCAGCTGATGGTCAACGCGCGCAAAAAGATGAGAGTTGGCCATATTTTCGCTTCGCGCTGCAGCTGAAACGATGTACATATGTGGTATTCTTTGTGCATTTTCAAACATTTCCCCTGGCATTCAAAAAGCGGCCTCTAGTCACTAACTTTTGTGACTTTTGGTGGTGAATTTGGATTTCAGTACGTACGTTGGTATTCAGTACGCTGTCTCACGTCTCTAGTCTCAAAAAAAGTCACTAATTTGTCAGCTGGTTAAGAGCAGATCACAAAAATATAAATATCGAGGAAAAGTTATTTGCTTTCCATTTTATTAAAAAAAAAAACGCAAAAGTGAAGCGAGAAAAATTAGTTTAACAACAATTTCGTTAGAAAATAATCCAAAATGCTTTAATATCACACAAATCCATTGAAAAAAATTATTTTTTTGTTTTTAAAACATTAAAATCTAAAGATTATTAAAAAATAAAACTAACAAAAAAATACTAGATAAAAAAAAAAAATCCTCTACGCCCAAGGAGGACTCGCCTCCGGACCCTCTCGACCGGCAGTCTAATGCTTTGACCACTCAGCCATTACGGCTCTTTGGGTGACGCGGCAAAAGGCATACATAAACGCTACCATTTAACTGTCTGTGTTTGTTTTCAACACACATTTTTGGTGAACTTTTTGTGACTCTGTCCTACCGAATACCCAAATCATCTAAAGTCACAAAAATAGTCACTAATTGCTAATCTCAAATTTAGCGACTGGAGATGAGACTGAATTACTGAATCCCAGGGTTCATCTTATCTGTCAAGCAAAGCGAAGCAAGCGTTTTATCTGGCATCAGCCTTAGGTCTTTTAAGAGTGGTTCAACTACATATGTATATATAGGGTTGCCAGATTTTGAAACGGAGAAAGGAGTACATTTATATTTTCGATAGAAAAAAAGCAGTACATGACATAAAAAAGGAGTACAATTTTTTTTTTTAATTTTTTGTGCAATTTATTGTTACAAATTACCATTAATTAGGTACAAACAAACAAAGATATCTTAGGCAAAGAACATAGTGACGCGACAAAAAGAAAGACAAGACATTTTTGGATAATAGCGACAAAAACAAACCTTTATTTTTAAATGTAGCAGCACATAGTGAAACGAAAAGCGAATAAAGCGACAAAGAGCATAGCGACGAAAACAAAAAAATTTGTTTTCGTTGCTTTCTGAGCAGACTGTTGCTTCACTATGTTTTTACGTTTCTTGTCTCTTTCTTCGCTATTATCCGAAAATGTTTTGTTGCTCTCTTTGTCGCGTCACTATGTTCTTTGCCTTAGAAATCTTTTTCAAAGCAACAATAAATGTGAAAAATAACTAACTATATGGGTTGGCTTTCCAATACGGACGATTGTTAAAGAGATGGAGATCGAAGGGGGAATGGACGTGGCACCTTTTCCGACCTTTTTGGAGGGGGCATGAACCGCAATTGACAAAAATGTTACTCCCGACCACCTAGGGCCCCTACGCACAGTGTATCATTTCCATATTCTAGAAAAGATTAATTACATTATTTTATGTCAACAAATTTCAAAACAATGTCAAGAGTGTTTTTAGAAATGCCTGATAAAGACGAAACAATAAGAACTAAAAAATTTAAATCAAAGAGTATGGCGGGACGGGGTTTGATTTGGAAAATTACTGAGCGCAATAATATTTAAACTTGTATATTTAAAACTGAATCTCAATGTTTAATTTGTCGGTGTTATGTGATTTATGCTACAATTGCTAAAATATCATTTTGGTCTTATTTTTTTAGGTATGATCTTTTTAATGAATATACATTTTTGACAATTTAGTAAACTAGGACTGAGTATTTCATGTTAAAGTAAAACTATGTTGACTTAGACTTATTTTTAGCAAATTATTATTTTTATTAGACCCGAATACTCGTTATCCGCCACTATTCGATAAAGTTTGTATCTCAGTTTATTTGCAACTGCTCTTAGACTTTAAACAACACAATTTTAGCTGCTGGAAAGTGCAGGTTTTGATGAAATTTTCTTTTTTCTGGCCTACTGGGAATTTCATTTTCTTCGAGTAATTCATTTGCATTTTATCTCGACCGAGACAAATTCTTGTATTTTTGCTTTGAATAGAGAAAGCCTGATTCATTACATTTCCAATGGTATCCCATTTTTGTAAATAGAGCAAGAAATATTGAACTTATAACGGAATTTTGTTGACCCAACTTGACTTTTATCTCGAAATTTTCCACGCCCATAATTAAAAAAAATATATTTATTTTTAAGTCCATTTCCTTGTTATAGGGAAATTCTAAATATAAATTTTGGGCATTTTAGCCTTTGTAGTCAGCTAAATATTTCAGTTTTTGTATTTTTAAAAATTGCAGTTATATAATAGGGTGGCGTAACAGTAACTATAAATTACCAATTTTTTGTAAAAAGCATCGCCATTCTTATAACGTACCTTGTGCAAAATTTCATTAATCTATCTTCAATAGTTTTCGAATTACAGAATTAAAAGTAGCTAGATGGGTCAAATCTTACACTGTGTTACGGGACCACTTAGAAAAATTTCCGTAGAATTCGGTTGTCAATGACCGCCCTTATAGGAAAGTTTCCGCAACTAAAAAACTAAAGACTACAAAAGAATTCCAGACTCTTCCTGAATGTATGACCATTTTTTTAATTTAAGCCTCATAATTAATGTAATATTTTTCTGATTTTTATACCCGAGAGCCCTGCCCCTAAGGCTATGCGTATACCTTTTCACTATCACCCTTAACTTTGCTTACTAAGTAGTGTTTGCCACAATATGAATGGCAAAGTACAGCGCGCAAAATAATATCTGTCGTACAGGTTTTTTGAAAAATAAAAGGGTCCTTTATAGATTTTGTGTTTTTTTTGTTAACTTTGTACATATTTTACTTTAATTTTATTAATTGGTTTTAAAATTTTAATCCTGATTTGCATTTGCCAGCCTTGGGAGATAAATACATGCGGCACGAACTTCTTTTTCAGGTGTATTTTTTCTTTGATTTTGTAAAAAAAAAGAAAAAAAACTGTATAGGGTTGGTCGAATGAATGGCCTCCTAGTCACCACTTTCGAGTCTTTTCGATTGCTGAGTATGAGGCCTTATGTTGGACAAAAGACGGAGTATAAAGCATCCAAATGGGGAAATTAGCCTATGGTTACAGAAGATATGTAATAAAGTAACCGACGAAAACTTGCGCTTTTTTCCCAAGTGTTTATCGCCGGTAAACTCAAATGAAGGTTAAAATTTAAAAACAAATTAATAAAATTGAAGTAAAATCTACTACAAACTACTTTTTCGCAAAATCTATAAAGGCACCTTTTATTTTTCAAAAAAAAAAAAAAACTGCAACAGATATTATTTTACACCCTGTATATGATAAAATATTAATAGCTGGAAAAAGGAGTACAAAAGAAGTACAAAGCTAATAAAGGAGTACATTTCCAGATATTTTTTTTTGGGGTACACTGAGGGAAATAATGCATAGTAAAAATGAATACTTTATATTTGATTATCGTTTAAAAGTCTTCGTATTTAAAAATAATATTTTCATACAAAATTTATTAAGCACGTATTTCACTGTTCACATCTGAGTATGTTTATGTAAGTGTACATACCCTGCAGGGAAAACACGGACTAGTGAATCAAATTTCTAGTTTCGTACTAGGTCTTTATCACCAAAGAGGAACTAGTCCGATAGGAGCTAGATCCCCACCAGTCCAAAATCGGCGAAAAGTGGTCCTTTTAAAAAACTAATTTTTCAGTTTTTTTTCACTAGAAATCTATATCTAAAGTGACGAATTTAGAACTGGTTCGGAACTATAGAAAAAGAGATGCAGAACTATAGAAAAAGAGATGTAGAACTAGTTCGGAACTATCGAAAAAGGGATGCAGCAGGGGGCTTGTTTACTTTACATAGATATGTGTTCGGCGTCTTTTTCGTTCAAATACGCTTCTATTCTGCATTTCGCAGATACTTTTTCAAAGCTTGGTAATACAAAACCAAAATTTGTGTTAACATTTCAACATCTTGGGACCGTCTGGAATCTAACAGTGAGCACCTCTGTAAACTCAGCTACAGCTAAAGGAATGTAAACGTACATTTCTTACAATCATTCAAACAAATTTAATTTAAAATTGAAAACACATTTCTTTCAAAATAACTTAAAATCGCACACACGGAAGAACCAAAAAGATTGAAAAATCATGATACTTTTTTCTCTCGTCTGTCGATTTTAGAACTGGTTCGGAACTATAGAATTTAGGGCTAGTTCGGAACTATCGAAAAAGGGATGCAGCGGGGGGGCAATTGACACTTCCTAGGACATCGCCATGTTAAATTCGCCAGTTGTTTGCATGCAAAAGAGATTTATCGCGAACCAGTACTGGGTCTAAATGTACTAGAAGCACACCAGTTTGGAACTAGAGATTTTCCCCACAGGGTACGCACCCCAAGCATGCAGAGCGCCGCTCTGAGAGCGGGGACAACACACACA